TTTTTTTTTTGGTCATGGGGCTTGAACTCTGGGTCTGGACACTGTCCCTCAGCTCTTCAGCTAAAGGCTAGCGCTCTACCACTTGAACCACAACGCCACTTCCAGTTTTCTGGTAGTTTTTAAGAGTCTCATCGACTTTCCTGCCTGGGCTGGTTTTGAACTGCAATCCTCAGATCTCAGTCTCGAGTAAGTAGGATTATAGGGGTGAGCCACTGGTGTCTGGCTGAAGGTTTTTTGTGTTTTGTTTTGTTTTGTTTTTATAATGAAAGAAGCTGAGTTCAATAAAATTATCTCTTAGAAAAATATTAAATGCGACCAATTTAATAACTTAATAATTAAAAGGAGATGATGTCCCTCAGTGTCGCAGCTATGAATAATCAGCAGCAACAGTGATGGATGATTTGCTATTGGCACTAGGAAAACATTCAGAATCTGAAGTCTTCAGGTGGCCCATGAAACATGACCTAGTGCTCCTACATGACCATGTAACTCACTGGTAATATTTGCTTCCCAGATATATCTTTAATGTGAATATAAAGTAATATACTTGAAATTATTTAGAAAAATGTAAAAAAAATACTTTGAGAATACAGGCTATCAATTAACTTTTAATCTTGAGATTTTTTAGGATGGTGGGTGTTCAACCATTTGAGCCACATCTTCAGCTCTGCTTTTTGTTAGTTATCTTGCAGATGAATCCTAGCTCATATCTCTGCCCAGTTGGCCTTAAAGCCTATTTCTTCACATCTCCACCAGACAGAGGCTAGAATGCACTTTTGAGCCCCTAACACCCAGCTAACATCAAATTTATGTGTAAAAACACAGCTTTTCCAAATACATTTATGAAGAAAGACTAAGGTGGAAACATTTCACACTTACTGATAACATACCAAAGTACCTATTCATTTGATTGTTTTACCTTGGCCACACTGAATATACATTGCTCAATACTCACTATTAAAAGTTCAAACAACATTCTTGTTATTGTTTTTTGGATTCTTTTTGTTTAGTCTTCCATTTGAAGTCAGAAGATGTATGAAGTCTCTGTTATGCTTTAGGTCTAGCTCAATGTCTGTGCTTGTATAGGAAATTTTTTACTTGGCATGGTTTTGCTTTGTTTTAGGGTTTGCTTGGTTAAACAATGGAACCAGTGAATTCATCTGTGCCAATAAATCACCAACAGGAAGTTTTACTATGAAAACTTCTCTTTGAATAAAGCAATCCATTATTGTTTTGTAATTTTGCATTCAGATCGTATTAAACACAAAAGAAATTTAAGATCAAACATGAATCATTTTTGTTAAGGATTTAATGCCAAAATCTGGTTTCACAAATGTCCACTTATGTATAAATGTGACAATATTACTTTTTAGGTACACAATTCCTCAAGATTTAAAAACCTTTTCACTGAATGATGTTATTATATGGAATAAACATGTGCAAATGTCTTTTTCAATAACAGATATATATTCAAAGGAAAATTTAATCTTCCTCAGCCAAAAGCTACAGTCCCTCAACGAAAATGTACAACATTGTTATAAATCCAACTATCTACATAATTAATACTTGTGCGCTTTTCTTCCATTAGAAGATGAACAAGAACTATAAATTCAATATTTTAGGATCACACTGAAAATGTTTAAGGCATGGAGTTTTGAAATATGGAAGACATTTTGTACAGTCCATGTTCCAGAGTAGTCACTCTGCTTGCCTTTACATTCTTAACCTTGCAAAGGGGACCCTGCAAAAGGTACACAGATGTTCTGAGGTAGAATTTGTCCAGTGCGGAATGAATACATGCATTTCATTGTCTCATTTTTTCCCCTTAATGCTTAACTCTGCCTTCTCATCCTCTAATCCCATCCAGCTACATCATCACCTTGGAATATTTATGACATACATTCCCATTTAGACATTGTAGCTTTGGGCTCTGGAGATGAGATTTTGTTCTCCAGGACCGGAAAAAAAGATCCCTATTGTGAATCATAAAGTACCAGGACTCTGCTTTCTCCAGGGTATTGCTCTACATTGACAACTAGAGATAGGTTCATTTCTTCAGACTGGGTATTTTTAAGCACCAGAGTTAGAATTACCCTTTAGGATTGAACACTTTGAAAGATGAGATAAATTGTTGAAAGTCATATTAAAACATAAACTATCAATTTTGCCTAAGAATAGCTGCTTAGATTTGTTCTTCTTCTAATATGTAGTAAATAGATTAAGGGCGAAGAGTAATAAAATGTATTTTAAGAGTAATTGTGAATAAATTGACTTTTCAAATTTTGGGACTTCATATTGGAAAAATTATTTTATGTTAAATAGAAATTAAAATATTTTATAGTGGTTTAATAATCATTAGCATATATTCTGCCATAAATGTTTTGGAAAGAATTACTAATAATCCATTGCCGATATAATAAGATAATTTGGAAATGATAACGAATAATATATAAAGTACAATAAGTATTTCAGTAGTCAGTCTTAATGTTCTACAGTACTTAGTCAACGAAGCTAAACACTACCATCTTGAATTAAGATAAAATTTACCACTTTTTCTCCAAACAGTGATTTTTGGCCTACATTCCCTTTCTGTTCTCATACAAAACTTTCAAAGTTAAAGACAAAATTAAAATTAAAACACTCAATTTTCTGGTGAAGGCATTGAATGCAGGATTTCAATCATGATAAACAAGCATATTTTTCTTTTCATATATATATATATATATATATATATATATATATATATATATATGTGAAAGTACCATACAGAGGGGTTACAATTACATGAGCAAGGTAATGAGTACATTGCTTATCAAGCATTGTTGCCTTCTCCTTTGTTTCCCCTTCCCATACCTTCCCATCTCCAAACCCCCACCCCACTCCGGCCAAAGTTGTAAAGTTCATTTTTCGATATAATATCTTGTACATATCATTGTTGCAATGGGTCCACCTGTATCCCTATTTAAACAATTTGTTTTCTCCCTTCCCTTCCACAAATTATACCAACATCAAATACAGTGAAAACAGGGGTTATTCCATGGGGGAGCTACATACAAAGCAACAAAGATATCATCTTATAAATATGTTAGAAACAATAGCAAGAAAGAAAAAAACACTTGTGTTCCTATCTTGGGGTTCATTTCATCTAACATCATCAACTTATCTGACTGTTTCTCAGACATATATTAGTTATTGCAAACAAGGGAAACCATGGGACCTATGTTTCTTTGGGCCTGGCTTACTTCATTTAGAGAGATAAACAAGCTTTCTACAGAGAGTTAAACCTGAGTCTAAAATTGTTTCATTTATCAGTTTTCTTTCCATAATCCAGTGTAACTAACCAAGAGTTCATGAACTAGAAAGTCAAAAAGTAATTCAGGGACAATACATTCAAGTTACATTACTTCAAATTGTTGTTTATAGGAAAATGTTCAATTGGCTGAAATTAGAAAACATGCAATGTACAGATGAAATATTTGAATTTCTTTACATGTTTTGAGTCATTTACCTGTATAAAATATTCTCCTGATATTATCTTGTCCCTATAACCTAAAAGAATATATTGACAAGTTTTTTTAGGTCTAAAATTGGACAGGGAAATAGTTCTTAGTTTTCTTGAGATTAGTATTCTATTGTATACTGAAGTAGCTAAGTCATTAGATTAATTGAAATTAATTTAAGTTGATTATCAGCAAGTAGCAAACTGTGCCAAAGAGCAATTCCTTATTTTTAGAGTAAGTATTTATTCTCTTAATCTCTCCATCATCCTTATTTTTTTCTCTATCATGCCTTAAAAGACAAAGTGACATTAAAATAAATGATGACTCTATGTCTGGAAGAATTCAATACAAAGGAAAGTGGAAATGTCAAATATGATCACAAAAATAAAGCTCTCTAAAACTATGGAAACTGTGGATCTGAGTAAATACCTACAATAATTATTTTAAAATCTGATTTGATATCCTTCCATTTGGATCATTTCAACCAGATCAAACCTGCTAGCGTCTTCTGAAATGAGACACAAGGTTAAAGGAATATTCTTGAGAGTTTATAAGCAAGGATGAATCTGAATGGATTGTTTGCATAAATAATTGACAACACCTAGTATATCTATTTAGGATATCACAATGTTCAGGTAATTGGAATAGAAGTGAGAATCAACAATTCCTTAGACACAAGGGCTTAAAAAAATAAGGAATGGGACAGATCAGTATTATTAGAGTAATTTGGAAACTTTAAAAATTATTAAAATATAATCTTTTTAATAAATTTTCTCTTAGCTAATATAATTCAGGCAATTGTAACTTTCATATATTTATCTAAATTATTACAATTATATCTGTTACAGATAGTTTCATACTTTTGTGTGATAAACAGGATTATATTAATGGAAAACATTTTTTACAGATTCTAAAATATATTATAAAACAACCAAAATTCCATTTTGAATAAGCATCTTATAAAAAGAATCTCACTTCTAGCTTTATTATTAAGCATTAGCACTGGAAAAATAAATAATAAAAGATAATTCTTAGAATCTTGTATGCATGATTTTAATTTTTTTAAGAAAAGCAAAAAGGTGTAGGCTTTAGGAAAGCAGTTTGTGCTAATACTTTCATCTTAATTAGTGCACAATTTCAAATCTAAACAACAACAAAAAAGAATAATGTAATGTTTGTTGTTTTGCTCAACATGTTTGAATGGCCTAGCCTTATAGATGAGACTTCCAGATAAAATAACATGAACTTGTTTCCATTAACATTCACTGCTCTCTATTTGGTAGGAAAGGAATGGCAAGACCATTTACAGAAAGAGGAGGAGTTGAGCTGTCCCAAGGTGGAGCTGTCTCTTGTGTTATATGACACTGGCAGTTTAAAGTGCTCTAATGGGGAAGGGCTTAAAGGCTGAGTCAAAAGCCAAGAAGTCTCTTTATTTACGCCTACCTCCCAGCCCTTGGCAATCTGACTAATAACAAACTGAGCTAACAAGAAAGACTAGAAAGGGAGGAAAGAGAACCTTGCTGCATGCAGCTTGGATCTACAATCTAAAAAACAAGAGTGATCAATCCCAGCGCTGTTAAACATCTTGTTTATTTTCTGCATTCAGCAGCTTGCAAATGGTTAACTATATGCCAAAAGGAAAAAAAAAAGTCAGCATAGCAGTGAAGTATGCCATGAATTTTAATTGAGGGGATAAAGAGAGAAATGCTTCAGGATGCTCCAGCATGCATTCTGCTTGCAATATTTTCTTTGAAATGTTCAGCATTTTGTCTTTGACTGGAGGTTTTTAACTTTTGCAAGCTACAGGACTTGTTAAGAAGTGGTATTTGAGGAGAAAGTACGTGCTGGTATTCGCTGCTTTCTCTTTTAATAAAGAAACTGAATTACTTTGAACATCTCTTCCAGCTGTGCAATACAGAAAACACGTCAGGAAAGAATCTGCTTTACAGGTAAGATGAATGTTTCAGCCTTTTCAATACTGATGTTTGCATTATCATCAAGGGATTGCATTTGTATGTTTGCCACTTAAAAAAAAATATAGTAACTTTGCTTACAGGTTTTCAGTCATATTTTTCTCAGTGGCCAAACTAACACTTTAGCAGATGCCTATTTTCTCTGAGCACTAGACATTTAGTCCAACAGCTGGCTCTGTAGAAACGAAGCAATATAATGTTATACCATTATGCCTTTTAAAACATGTGGTTTATTATTGGTACTGAGTATGTTTGCTTCCTGCGTAAAAAAATAGATGCCATTGTTGAATTCCTAATATAGGCAGAATACTGGAGAAATCTTTGTATATTGTGAGCTACTTTTATTGTATTCTCTGACTTGAGAATGTAGAATTTCCTGAAAATATGTATGTCAGGGAGTTTTGACCTCTTAAAGACTGTATAGTATCAGATGTGGTTGATTCTGAACACTCCTCAAGTTTTTTTTTTATGTCTGGAAAGATTAGAAACTGTTTTCTAATATACTGTGAAGCACAGGATGCATGTAAGATTTTTTCTTAAAGTGAGATATTGTCATCTGGAAATTATTTACTATTTTCTGAGGATGCTGTGCTAGGTGCAATCCAACATTTTCTTTGCTGATGATTTATGAAGAAGTACTTATATTGTTTTTGGAAGCTAATCCACAAGTTAAAAACTCCAACTACAAGCTCCTTATTTCTAAGCACATAAGTCAGGATAGTTTAAAACCTACTATTTCCCTATAGAAACCTAAAGCCTTCTAACTTTCCTTTTATTTATAAAGACTATACTGGTTTGTTCCTTTGGTTACCTTTTGTCTTTCCCAGACTTGAGACTGTTCATGGTTTCAATAAAATAATGCATTTTCAGGAAATTGAAGTTTACTTTCAGCATTATTGAGTGCATCTGGAATAACTTATTAGATTTTGCTTTAAATTTTTGATTGGGTCCATTGTTTGTATTTCATCAACAAATAAGCAAGTTTCATTTTGAAAAGTTCACATAAGGTGTGCTGTTCATCTCGTAATTTGGGTTATATATTTAAGATAAACTAAGTGAATGAAACAGAACTGGATGATCAGTAGCATTGTGTATGCTTAGAAGGAATAAAATATCACTGAATGATCATTAATGTTGTTCAAGTTTACCTTGCCCTTGCTGATGTTTCAAGGTTAAGAGCTACTGTTTCGAATGCACAATTTAAATTTTGAGAGAGCTAGAATATGTGATGTTGTTCCGATGAACTGTTATTTGAACCAAATTATATATGGTCTCAAACTATTTTACATAGTGCAGTTTGTTTCAGAGCTCATTGTTTGAGACTTCAAGCTTGAAATAGAGTTGATCAACTGCTTAATTATGTGGTGACATTTACTGCCTAAAGCCTGCTTCAAGTCCTCACCTGGAAGTCATCTGGGTTGAAGTTGACATGAGGCATTGTTTATTCTTTAATAATAGCTTGAAATCATGCTAATACTCAATTTTCTCCCTCGGTTGTTTGTGAATTTTTATCTATGGCTAAAAAGTTTGAAAGAAGCAGTATTCCATATCTATTCCTTATCTGACTATAAGTGTGACTTCAGTTAAATTTAATGGGGTACTCTTAAGTCTTATGTATCATACACAATTGTAATTTAAGACAGTATTTCAGGGCAGAATAGCCAAAATAGAGTTGTTTTATAATGCTATATATTATTACATCATGAAGGACACATTTTCCCAATATTTATTAAAAATAAACAGTAGTATATTATTCCCAAATCAAGACAGATGAGCATACAGACATATTTATAAACTAAGGGAATACATACTACCTGCAAATATACATACACATACATTCTTTCTAGTCACCATCTAGAATTCCCCAGGTTTCTAGCTAATATATATATATTATATTTGTAATATATTATATTATTTATTACATTTCATTTTATATATATATCCTTGGCCTATAATCATCAAGCATTAGCTCTTATTATTGTAAGATTAAAAGAATGCTTAAAAACAAGGTGTTTTCAACCACATACTTTTGTATTATGTTATGAACATGATACAAAGCAAGCATCCATCTTTTATGTTCAAATGCAGGTTTCAGGTGTCAACACAAATGTTACTCTAATATTATAACATCTCTGTGCTGAATTTTATACTTTGATGCAAGTTGAAAGTTATTCAGAATAGGTCTGAGTATTGGAAAATATATTAAAAACAAATGTAAGTGTTATAACCCATTCAGATTTTCATAGTAGCTGAAAACCTATCATTTGAAAATGTTAGAGTTATCTCACTGTCCCACCCATTAAAGTCCACTGTTATTGCATTTTATTTTACAGGGTTAGACCCCCATCACATGACAACATGAAGCTGTGGACTCATCTCTTTTATTCATCTCTGCTTGCCTGTATATCTTTACAGTCCCCATCACCAGTGCCCTCACTCAAAGGATCTTGTGATACCCTTTGCAACTGTGAGGAAAAAGATGGCACAATGTTAATAAATTGTGAAGAAAAAGGTATCAAGGAATTATCCCAAATAAGTGTGCCACCATCACGACCTTTTCACCTGAGCTTATTGAATAATGGCTTGACAATGCTACATACCAATGACTTTTCTGGACTTAGCAATGCTATTTCCATACACCTGGGATTTAACAACATTGCAGACATTGAGACTGGTGCGTTTAATGGCCTTGGCCTTCTGAAACAACTTCATATCAACCACAATTCTTTAGAAATTCTTAAGGAGGACACTTTTCATGGATTAGAAAACTTGGAATTCCTACAAGCCGATAACAATTTCATTACAGTGATTGAACCAAGTGCCTTCAGCAAGCTCAACAGACTTAAAGTTTTAATCCTAAATGACAATGCTATTGAGAGTCTTCCACCAAACATCTTTCGATTTGTTCCTCTAACCCACTTAGATCTGCGTGGAAATCAGTTGCAAACATTGCCTTATGTTGGTTTTTTAGAACACATTGGCCGAATATTGGATCTCCAGTTGGAGGACAATAAGTGGGCTTGCAATTGTGACTTATTGCAGCTCAAAATCTGGTTGGAGAACATGCCTCCACAGTCTGTCATTGGGGATGTTGTATGCAATAGTCCGCCATTTTTCAAAGGAAGCATATTGAGTCGACTGAAAGCAGAGTCAATTTGCCCTACTCCACCAGTGTATGAAGAGTTCGAGGACCCTTCTGGATCATTGCACCTGGCAGTCACATCTTCAGTAAGTGATAGTCTCATGTCAACCAAGACCGTATCCATTTTTAAACCACCTACCAAAGCACCTGGTTTGAATCCTTATCTTACAAAGCCATCGACTCAGCTCCCAACACCCTACTGTCCAATTCCTTGCAACTGCAAAGTCCTAACCCCATCAGGACTTCTAATACATTGTCAAGAACGCAACATTGAAAGCATAGCAGATCTAAAACCTCCTCCACAGAATCCCAGAAAGCTGATTCTAGCAGGAAACATTATACACACGTTAATGAAATCTGATCTAGTGGAATATTTCACACTGGAAATGCTTCATCTGGGAAACAATCGTATTGAAGTTCTTGAAGAAGGGTCGTTTATGAATCTTACAAGACTACAAAAGCTCTACCTTAATGGCAACTATCTCACCAAACTAAACGGAGGCATGTTTCTTGGTCTTCCCAACCTTGAGTACTTATATCTCGAATACAATGTGATTAAGGAAATTCTACCAGGAACCTTTAACTCACTGCCTAAACTCAAAGTACTTTATTTAAACAACAATCTCCTTCAAGTTTTACCCCCGCATATTTTTTCCGGAATTCCTCTAACTAGGATAAATCTTAAAACAAACCAGTTCACCCATCTCCCTGTCAGTAACATCTTGGATGATCTGGGTTTATTGTCCCAGATTGACCTTGAAGATAACCCCTGGGACTGCTCTTGTGATCTGGTTGGATTACAGCAATGGACACAAAAATTAAGCAAGAACACGGTGACGGATGACATCCTCTGCATGTCGCCACCTCATCTCAACAAAAAGGAATTGAAAGCCCTGAACAGTGAACTTCTCTGCCCAGGTTTAGTAAATAACCCATCCCTGCCAACCCAGAGTCATTCCATGATCGTCACAACTCCTACGAGCACTACAAATACTGCAGGGACTCTTTTAAGCTCTCTCACAGATGCTGTCCCGCTGTCAGTTCTAATATTGGGACTTCTAGTTGTCTTCATCACCATTGTGTTCTGTGCTGCCGGGATAGTGGTTCTTGTTCTCCATCGCAGGAGAAGATGCAAAAAGAAGCAAGTCGAAGATCAAGTGAGAGACAATAGTCCTGTACACCTTCAGTACAGCATGTATGGCCACAAAACAACCCATCACACAGCTGAAAGGCCCTCAGCCTCTCTCTACGAGCAGCACATGGTGAGTCCAATGGTTCATGTCTACAGAAGTCCGTCCTTCGGTCCAAAGCATTTGGAAGAGGAAGAAGAAAGGAATGAGAAAGAAGGAAGTGATGTGAAGAATCTCCAAAGAAGCCTTTTAGAACGGGAAAATCACTCACCACTCACAGGATCAAACATGAAATACAAAACCACAGACCAATCCACAGAATTTTTATCCTTCCAGGATGCCAGTTCATTATACAGGAACATTTTAGAGAAGGAACGAGAACTTCAGCAACTGGGAATCACAGAGTACCTAAGGAAAAACATCGCTCAGCTCCAGCCTGACAGGGAGGTACATTACCCCGCAGCCCATGAAGAACTGAAGTTGATGGAAACGCTAATGTACTCACGGCCAAGGAAGGTATTGGTGGAACAGACTAAAAATGAGTATTTTGAGCTCAAAGCTAATTTACATGCTGAACCTGACTATTTAGAAGTCCTAGAGCAGCAAACTTAGATGGAGACTCGAAGGGCTTTGGCAGAAATGCTGTGATTCTGTCTTAAGTCCAAATCTTGGAAATAAGTGCCTTAAATGAGTGAGTAGGTCTTCAATCAGAACTTAAGCACAGCAGTTATATGGGAACAAAGAGAAGAGAAAGAAGCTCAGGGATCATTGGGAGAAGCCATGGCATTATGTTCAGGCAATGTAGTCTATCCCAAATAAATCCTTGCATGTAATGCATTCAAGGATTATGGCGTTAAAAAAATAAAAATAAAAGTCAATGTTACATAGAAGTCATCTTGCACATGTTAAAAAGGTTGAACATTGAAACAATCATTATTTTCTTGAATTGTTTTACCAATGGATTAAAGGAAATTTTATTTCATCATTTAAAAAAGTACCTATATATGTAGTTAGAATATGTCTGGGATATATACTTTATAACTATTGTATGCTTAAAAATCTGCGAACATTCAATTTCCTCATGATAAATACAATGGAACTGGAACTTGAAATGTGTAAGTCATAATAGTAAGGAAAATAGAAAAGTTGTAATTAGGTAGGCCAAGAGTTGGCCAAAACTTTAAACAGTGCAAAATTAAATGGCCAATCCTATGCTTTCTGAATTAAAAATGAATGAATAATAGTTCAGATGGGCTATATAAGCAAACTTTTTGGTTTTTCTACACATTTTGTGTGGACATTCATTTTGTCAATGCTGCTGTGAATTAAGGTATATCATTTGTGCTCAAAGTATAATTCTTCTTGGGATATTTAAACATGCTACTGAGATTTGACTGTAAATATGATTAGAACACCTATTAAATTTGCTTATGTTCATAGTATTAATCCTTTGTAAATCTGAATGACCATGATAGAAACATGTTCTTTTCGTGGCAAAGTTACAATTAAAAATATTATTTTATTTTTCATGATGTATACTGATAGCTGCCATCAATTAGTAGAAAAGGCACTTCTAAAGGTAAGTGGTTTATGTTACCTCAAGAGAGGGACAATGTAGCTTTATTTTACAAGAAGGTATAGCTAGATTTCTATGGACTATTTATTCTGTACAGTTTTGTATATTTTTGGTTCATAAAGTAATTATTCTTGGGTGCCTTTCAAGAAAAGTAAAAGTTCTGCTCACTACAATAAAATTAAAATGAACATTATTTTCAAATGTGCTTTCTTCAATTAGTCTTACCTTTTAATTCTATTAAATCAGGTTTACACACACACACACACACACACACACACACACACACACACACACACACACACATGAGGAGGTTCCTGTATGTAATGCATACAGAAATATTTTGTTTGCTATATGCAAAAATACATTCAATTTTTGGTGATGATTGACATTAAGCCAAATTAAGGTAAGGCTAGAGTTTTCCTTTTCAAGAAAATCATTTTACTATATATGCAAAGGTAAATGACTTATTTTTCTTCTTTCCAATTATAAAATTAGGTTTTCACAAGCAAAATGTAATTAGTCAAGAAAATGTAGGACTGTTTTGTGAACACAATGCACACTCAGTTTCTCATTTAAGGAAACACTGTATGCAACGAAGTACTTTATTTTTTATTTTATTTTATTTTTTATTTTATTAACTTAATACTATTTTAATGAATTCTGAAGGTACTATTGAATATCTTACTTTTTATTGATGACATTTTTGCTTTACTATCAAATTGTAAAGTGTATCTGACTTTGAATGAAACAAATCACCTAGCTTATAGAAACTGTGTCTGTGCCATACAGTATGTAGAATAAAACTCCAATGTGAATTCAAATTTACTACATTTTGCATTGAAATAGAATACAAAAGTTGTAATATGTTAAAGGTTAAAGGAAAAATCTAAACTGTTTCCATCATTTTCAGTGTCTTGAAAGAACAAATGTGGATTTTTATTTTTAGTATAACATGTTCTAAACTTAATATATGTGAACATGGAAAGCTTTCTATTTTTTTTTTTTACTATAAAGTACTCTGCACAATAGTAAATTGTAAATAATCAAAGGAGTGATATTATTAGGAATTTTATTCTAAGTAGAACAAGAGTCGAGAATACAATTATTGAATTCTTTTTAGTTGACTATCTGCCAATATTTTGTTTTATTTTGTTCACGTACATAGAAGTAACAGCATGATTTAACCTCCATGCCTGAAGGATCACTGGAATACATCCAGAAAGTCAAATAGAAACATGTCTTCATGAATGTTCTTTTCTTTTGGATGGAGTAATGATTTTTTTTCAATTTTTATTCATTGGTAATTACCTGAAGTAATGATGTTCATTTTCAACTTATAACTGAAGAATCATTTTCTTTTAATTTTAGTTTTTGTTGGTTGCTTTTTTTTCTGTACCTATTCTAAGACTTGCACTCAGTACCTGGGCATTCTTCTTGAGCATTTTTGCTCAAAGCTGAGCCAGAACTGAGCCAGACCAGAGCTAGAGCTCCACTTCTGGCTTCTTTTGATTACTTGGAGATAAGAATCTTACAGATTGGGGCTGGGAAGGTGGCTCAGTGGTAGAGTGCTTGCCTTGCATGCATGAGGCCCTAGGTTTGATTCCTCAGCACCACATAAGCAAAAAGAAAAAATCCAGAAGTGGCGCTGTAGCTCAAGTGGTAGAGTGCTAGTCTTGAGCTGAAGAGCTGAGGGACAGCGCCCAGGCCCAGAGTTCAAGCCCCCTGACCGGTCCCCCCCCTAAAAAAAAAAAAAGAATCTCACAGATTTCCTGCACAGTTGGGTTTGAACTGAGATCTTTAGATTTCAACCTCCTGGGTAGCTCAGACTACAGGCATGAACGCCCACAGGAACCAAAAAATTTTTTTATAGAACCATCCATGTAAATGTATGTTCCAAATTAAACTACTATTCAAGACTAAAAGCCAGTGGAATATAACTTAAAAACTGCCATTTCCAAAACTTCCATTTCCAATGAGCATGATGTTTTAATGATGTGTTTCATTTCATTTTATTATTCTTTATTACTCTGCATCCCTCTATATGAATAAGTGATCAGAAAACATCCTTTTGGATATTTTGATAAATAAATGAAATCAAAATGTAGGTATGGAGTGAGAAAGAATTTAAAATCCTCATCTGTCACCTGACAGGATGAGTTTACTAGCTTTTTGCATCTTTTTTTTTAATTGTTAAGGAAATTAAAAAATATCTTTAACTGGGTGCCTGTAATCCTAGCTGCTCGGGAGGCTGATACCTGAGGATTACAGTTCAAAGACAGCCGGGGCAGGAAAGTCCATGAGACTTTTATCTCCAACAAACCACCAGAAAACTGAAAGTGGCGCTGTGGCTCAAGTAGCAGAGCACCAGCCTTGAACTGAGGAGCATAGCCACAGCACCCAGGCTCAGAGTTCAAGTCCCACTCTGAAAAAAAAAATTATATATATATGTATATATATGTGTACATATATATACATATATATATAATTGCACAAAGAATTTGTCATTTAACAAAGCAGATTATCAATGCAATGCATTTTGTTTTCTTTCTGCTTGAATTTTCTATGTATTTTTTTTTTACTAGTTGTTGGATATTTACAAAATCAATATTGGTCTTTACCACCCATTGAGTGGTAATTTATGTGAATTTATGTGAATCCCTTAAAAACGTTACTGTTTTACCCAATCTCCTATTCTTTCACCTATCAAAATATTATATTTTTCTTTGTTCACTTAGCAAGCCAATTTGTCTCTCAAACTAACAGAATAATCTAAATTTCAAAATGCTATTTGAGAAATTATCACCAGAAGACCTGGTGACTGAAAGAAAATTATTGTAATTCTTCATGGTCAGTTCCTTGATATAAGCAAAGTTACAGTTATTCATGTCACAGTAGTACAAATACTGATATGTCAAAAATATCGTTTTATACATAGTGATAGGAGCATAGAGCCAAACCTAGTCAATTAAACTCCATTTCAAGTGGTAGACATTAAAAATTCTTAAACATTACCTAACAAATCACATTTTTTTTGGGGGGGGGGGGGGTCCAGTCTTGGGCCTGAACTCTGGGCCTAGGCGCTGTCCCTCAGCTCTTCAGCTCAAGACTAGCACTCTACCACTTGACCCACAGCGCCACTTCCGACTTTTTTTTTCTGCTTATGTGGTGCTGAGGAATCGAACCCAGTGCCTAATGCATGCAAGGCAAGCACTCTACCACTGAGCCACCTTCCCAGCCCCAAGTCACATTTTTGAATGAGAATACTTGGGATTAACTATCATATCTCCACAAGTGTTCTACAAATATCTTCAATTAATCCCCACCACTGTGAGGAATTTTTTTCCATATATGAAGTAAGTGGAAGCCGGGTGCCCCTGGCTCACACCTGTAATCCTAGCTACTCAAGAGGGTGAGATCTGAGGATCGTGGTTCAAAGCCAGCCTGGGCAGGAAAGTCTGTGAGACTCTTATTGCCAATTATCCCCTCAGAAAACTGGAAGTGGCGCTATGGCTCAAAGTGGTAGAGCACTCGCTTTCAGCTGAATAGCTGAGGGACAGAGCCCACGCCCAGAGTTCAAGCCGCACGACTGACCCCCCCCCCCCCCACAAAAAAAAGAGAGAAACAAAGAAGTCAGTGGATAAGTATTATCCTCTTGAACTTATCTTCTTGTCTGAGCAGGCAGAAATCCTTTCTTTGCTGATGTAGTGCCAAGTGAACTGAAGCATCTTCTAAGCCACCTCAAGCTATCTTAATTCTATGGCCCAACTAATTCAAAGGTTTAAGACTCAATGAAGGATTGGAAAATGTGATATGGATATCCTCTTTTAATTAACAAAAAACATTTATATTCCTTTGTTTGTTTTAAATTCTACTGGAATTTGAACCAGTGGTTCATGCTTGCTAGGCAGATACTTCACAATTTGAACAATGGCTCTAACCCAATACAGAACTGTTTTTTGGTTTTTTTGGTTATTTTTTTTTTTTTTTGGGTCCGGTCGTGGGGCCTGAACTCTGGGCCTGGGCACTATCCCTCAACTCTTCAGCTCAAGGCTAGCGCTCTACCACTTGAGCCACAGCACCACTTCTGGCTTTTTTCTTTTTGCTTATGTGGTGCTGAGGAATAGAACCCAGGGCTTCATGCATGCAAGGCAACGCTCTACCACTGAGCCACATTCCCAGCCCTGTTTTGTATTTTAAATGGCAGTATTCACTGGTTAATATAAGGGTATTTAATAAGTTATGAGAAATGCTTCTATACATAAAATGAAAATTATACTCATGGAAAACCAAAGCTATTTGATAGGGAAGTCTGTATCTCTAGTGCGACATAATGTCACTGTGAGCAGTATGATTTCTTCCTATTTATTTTCCCATAAAGCAGTTTTGTGAAGAAAATGGAAATAATAAAGAAATGAGCTTTTACAGTAGCTTAAGAGACAACTATGAAACTTTCTCAAAATTGGCCTTATACCTGTCACTTTAGTCAAGAATCACATCGTTAATGAGAACTGGACAACTGGTTAAAATTCCTTTGTGCTTTTTGATTGTATACATTTGAAATGTAGTCATATTCACAAACATCCCCTGAGGTGTGTCACTGAATAGATGTCTCAAATAATAAGAATATATAATTGCTCATTATTAACATAAAAATTTTGATTACATTATTAGAGTTATATTAATACCAACTCTTTATTGTATATAATCACCATGATTTCTGTGCCGTTTTATTCAATTGGTTTTATAAAGGTGACTTCATGTTTATTTTATACATTCATCAATTTTTATGTATACATAACAGAGGAAAGGGCCAGATGTAAAATCCTCTTCCAGCTGCTTTGAAAGCTTAATCAAGTAGACAAATACTCTTCTGTTAGTAAATGTCTTTCAGGAGATTAGTGAATGAAGAAAGGAAACAATTCAAAACAACAAATTGCAGACACCCGCATTGGTGTGCTTCCAACCTCGATTACTTAAAACTGTATACTTTTTAAATACCATATTTTTTCAGTGCCTTAAAATATCAATAGCAGAAAGAACCCTTCTATAAATAATCATTTGTCTCTTCATGTTTCTTATAATTTTTACTAGCAAGAAAATTGTCTTGGAATGAGTGAAATATTTTTAATGGCTTATTTTTTCTGTGAAAATAAAATCTCTGGGAAATTAAGCCACTTTACTAAACTGATCTTA